ATAAATGAGGAATATCGACGGTGGGGGGGGGTCAAAGCAAATAAATGGAGCTCAGCATCCGTTTCGCATGTGTTTTATACATGATGTATATTAACAGATAAGATTTGAATCCATCTAATTCTCCCGTCTAGTTTTCCCCAAGTTTTTTTGAGAGAAACATTGCTTTATAGCAGAAATCGTGTGTGTTCATATTTATCATCGGTGGTAAGTCAGAGGAACCTCGACCCGGCCTGAACTCTCGTATCCGTGGGCTTCGTTGAAATGCAGCGATTTCGGAATTAAAAAATACTAGTGAATTGGGGTTTCACATGATCACAGTCCCACGGCGAGATATACCGTTTTGAGTTGATGGTATCTGAGCTCTCGGGAGACTCCCCCACCAACCTCATTCGCAGCGCTACTTGTCGCTACATCGCGTTCGCCTGAAATATGTGCATGGGAACTCTAAGGCAGCGTTCAGACTTCGCGACGGCAGCGCTTCGGTCGCGCGTTCGATGCAGTCGAAAGCATGCGCATCGATCGCCGAATGCGCGACCGAAGCGCTGCCGTCGCGAAGTCTGAACGCTGCTTAAGGGAAACCCTACCAAGCAACATACTGACCCGGAAGCGCAACGCGCCCGCCCGCTCACAAATGTCCGACCGATGCAGGCGCTTGTATCGCTTCATTTGCGCATATCAATCCGTGCTTAATAAACGGTGGAACCTCCTCGATGTTTTTGTGAGGTCGCGTGGTGCTATAAGCACTGATTGATATGCGGCTGCGATGTTGCATGGATATATGGGTACAAATACGCAGCCGTATCTACCGTAGCGGTTATTGGCACGATGCCAACGGGAAACTCGTCCGAAATTGCTTTCTGAGTCGTGTAGAACAAAGGCTTTTTGCAGGTTTTTGACCGTTTCACTTCGTTTTTCGTCATTATTGCACTATACCGCACCCTTGCTACCACTTTAGACCGAGAATCAAATCGTGGTGCTTTATGCCTTTCATGGCGCTTAGATAATTTAATGGAGACATATAATTAAGTTATGTGCTAAGTCTACGCACCCAAGCCTTCCTGGAAACAGCAGTACCGCTCCTCCAAAAAACATCGAGGAGGTTCCATCGTTTCTTGTAGGATAGGTGTTCCAATGCTCGGTGACGAGAGGGGCTCGGCGTGTACGGCGTACACAAACAGCATTTGCTCTCTTTTGACTTTTCCTTTGTCACTCCAAACGGAGTTCGGCAAATCATCGGGAATGTTCACTGTTGGGCTATTCTCTCATGGAATTTTCTATTACTTGTTCGGGTTCGAACAAGGTGTTCAATATGTTGGCTTGGGTTTGCATATAGTGAATATTTCAGCGTACAAGAGAAAATGATCAATAGAATCTCATAATTCTAGGGTGCTCTCGTCATCTTTGTTTTCTTTTTAGAGGCAATTGCTGCACAATTAATTGAGAAACAGTTGAGAAGCCATGAAACCATTGTTTAGCGTCGCAAAGCTTTTTTGACGCGTTCTGACAAGGTCCGCTGCGAACTCGGTTCTCAGTCAGGATGTGTGCTATCTATCATTCAGCACCAGCCATTCGGGCTCAGGTGAGTTTCGGCGCCGCGCACACGCTCTCCTCAAACATTCAACTGGGTGACCCCAAAATCAGGCTCAAAATAGCACACGGTGACTGGACATCGGGGAAAGGACGACATTCTTCTAAAAGCGGCTTTTCGTCGTGATTACAAGGGTAGCCGAAGGCTAATGACCAAGGGAAATGATCAAGCAGAAGCGCAAGAAATCTGGACCAATACCGTAGATATTTTAATCCCAATATAAGTTCGTGATAATGCGGCTTTCCACTCCAATGAAGTCTAAACTGTACTTGATAATAGTTTTGACAGAGGCAGTTGGAGGGAGCACATGGTTTGAACATTGGTTTTTAGGGTCACTTACGGTAAAGGTTGGTAATCAGGCGTTTGAATGCAATTTAGTGATCCGTGAAATACCTTCCGTCATTTGGCAGCCAAGTCCGCACTCGTAGACAGTGTACCACCTTCGTCACCTAAAAAGGCAAGATAAAGCGGCAAACGCCTGGCCTTGCGATATTGATGTTTTTTTGGCTACAAGACAACGACTTACACCACTAATTACCGCGCGTGTTGCCTAGGGCATCATAAGGAGATTTCAGCTCGTCGCACAAATGGTAGCGTGGCGAGTTCTGCGACCTCACAGGTTCTGCTTCTCCTGGATATAAAGGATAAAGTCTTCGCCGTTGATCAATCCCTTTGTGGGATGCGGCACGCATTCTACTTCCATTCAGAATCGTAGTGGCTTATTGAATGCGATGTGGCCTATACAATGACTTGCGGTGGCCAGCCGATGTACAAGTCAGTGTATCCTCCCAGACGAATCTGGTACCAATTTACCGTCCCCGGAGGGTAGAAGGCTTGGTTGGCCTGGGCGGGTGTCGACCCGGGATTTGAACCCGGCGCCGCGCGAGTGGTAAGCGCGCCACTTGTCACTACACCACCTCCGCCTCCCCTGGATATACTTCTTGAAATTAAGCATAGAGCAGTTCTGAGGCAAAACGCTTTTCAGCGCCGTTTTATCGACAGCAAGTGCAGTCGTAGTGGTGCAAAAACTGCCGTGCAGTTGTTTACCGTAATCCTAATTTCTAACCTAGAGTTTCGTGAGCAAATTCCTGTTACGAATTTTGTTCGAATTTTTCTCATTTTTCTTTTAGTGTGGGTAGCATTCGTCACTTGTCAACTTTGTTCATAAATTAATATCCTCTACCCATAATACTTGTTCGCGGGGATCGTCTCAGAGCCTCCAAGTACCGATTAAATCCACTCTGATCAAGAAAAGTTTCCATTATTGGACTTTCAAGCTCCTTGATGATTAAGTTATAACACCGTTATAGTCGGCTTTCTTCAGCGTGCCCATCGACATTAAAAGAAAAGATAAGGTGGTCAGCGTCTGTTAATCGATTAAGAAAAAATATGATTTTTTATGCGTAAAGGAAACTTCGGGTAAATGTTAAATTGCATAGTAGCGAATAAATACTGATTAGATGGAGTCTAATCAGCTGATACAGTTGCATTGCGCTGGGCGAGGGTAAAATATGTAGCAAAACGGTCGGCGGCGGCTTTGCTACAAGCACAACTACGCCAAAACTACAAGTCTAGAGTGACGGATTTTCCAGATTAATAGTTCCATCTTGTCTGTGTCTATCATAAACCAAAAATGTGAACGGTTGGCGGAATGGGGCATGCGGTGTCAGCGTCATTAGTGGAAGGACTGCAAGTAGGCCATTCAGCGCTTCCGCCAATTGACGTTGGCACCACGCGCGCCCCTGCCATTCGTGCCCGCCTGCATTTGACCGGAAGCTGGACTCAAGGGCTATCCGATATACAAATCAGTGCTGTCCTCCCATAGAGGTCTAGTACGTAGCAAATAACCGAAAGTTTGGAACTGCTAGGCCAAGAAGTTCAGGATCCACACCTTTACAATCACAGTTGGCTGGCCCATTTTCGTTCGTTACAGCATTTCCGCCCTGCAAACATTGAACGAAAAGTACAAGTCCTTTCAACAGCGCGCAAATAAAATATTACAAGCGAAGACCAGAGCACCCTAATTTAGACAGAGAAGAAGGAACTGGAATTCTTCTTCATCCTTTCAATGAATCGATACCGATGGATTAGCTACTGTAGGTGGGAAGAGTTCCACACCTCGTAGAAGTTGAGATAAATCTTGGCACTGCTCAGTCTCTGTTCTATCTCCCCTGATCAACGAAAAATGAAGGATTGAAAAGTGACTTCCTGATGGGTGAATGTTGCTGAGCACATAATTTCAGTGTCGGTATAATTGCGGCGCTATTTACTTCCCAGTTTTTCCAAATAAAGGTTATTCTAGGCACGTCGAACGAAACGGAACTGTGGATGCTCCTCATTCTGCAACTGCTTGAAACCCATTCAGGTTGGTGAAACGAAATCCATTATATCAACATTCATTTGATTTTCATAATCACCAGTTCTGACTGGCATGGTCTTTTTCAAAGTGGCTCTGGCAAGAATGCTGAGTTGTAGGCAAAAGTTGGACCCCAGGCGGGACTTGAGCTCGCATCTCCAGCTGGCCGGGTGACTGCGCTATACATTACGTCGGAACCGCTCCTACCCTCTTGTTTCAATTGCTTTTCAAGCCTTACAACACTCACTCGTTTAATGAACAACACTCGTTCTATATTTATTTGTCTTCAAACATCACACGAGGTTGTTAAACACAGTAGTAGGCTAACGTTTCTTTTCCTCCGTTATGACTTTCGACCCTGTGGCAACCAAGAGCAGTCGAGGTACGCGACCTGACCTTCCCATCCAAATGCTCCCTAACCCGCACAACTCGTTCAATGATAATGGCGGCTCCGGTGGTGTAATGGATAGCGCACTCCTCCCAGTTAGCAACAGATGCAGGTTCGAGTCCCTCCTGGGTGTGACTCTTGCCCATAGCTCAGCATTCATGTGATAACTTTCAGAGCGCGAGTGAGTTACAGCGCTCAAGAGCATGCTACTTAGACAGCTTACGGCTATTCATCAGTGATGGCTTCCATCTATTGTTCCGACCACCAAATATTGATACCATACCCCTTTCCTGGAATAATTCGTTATAAACCTTTTTAGTTAGACCTTTCCTGAGACAAGTAATGGTATTTAGTTTTCAGGCGTTTTCCAACTTCCAACCAAGTTGCTCATGCCAACAAGCTCCCACGTGCTTGCCCCAGTGCACACGATCTGAGTTGGTTAGTATCTCCTTAATATTTGTTCCTCCCAGGCTTCGGAATTTCAGATTCATTATTTACATAGATTCGTTAAACCGAAAGAAAGGGTTTTTGAAATTAATCCTTTCGTATAAGGAATTATCACCACTTATGGTCTCTTGACTCCACTCGGAAACACTTCACAACGCGTTATGTCAACAGAGCCTGGGTTGGAAAGGCTCCATTTCATTGCTACTCGGCCTTCGCCATTGTCGCATGATATAGCTGAAGAGGAAGGCCTTGCAAAAAAGTTATGCTGGGGGGGGGGTAACTGTTCCGTTGATAGGCTTGTGAATAAGCCGCTGAAACAAAATGGCAAACAAACAAATGATAAATGTTGCAGAGATCGGATTGTGCAGCAACATGCTCCCGTGCATGCATCCCGTCGTGTACCGAACGTACTGGCGATCAGTTGCAGTGCGCCCAGAAATGTGATGGCACCTGCCAAGCCACTTGCCGATTAGCTGCAAACCACGCTTCTCAGCAGGTACATTTTTATAAAAAGATCGCAGTTTCAAAACGCATGCTTCAAAGGGTGGGGTGTCCTTACCAAACCTTTCCGCTCCCATTTGAACCATAGGCATTTAGCCCGTGCGTGTTGGCCTATAAGGGTCATTCGGTAGTCAGCCAACGCTGAAGGCGCTCATGCTGTCAAGGAATTTCATCTTCGAATAGTCTTCCATGAAGTGGTTGAAGAGCATGCTTTACCTGACCAGGTTATGATCATCGCCAAGCAAGCCTGAGATCACCCTTCCGCTCTACACCGCTCTCTTTTGAATTTTGTCACTGAACCGGTTCTTAAATGTTAGAGATATGATGTGTCCTCTCCCTTTAAGCACAGGCTACCTCGAAGACAAACTGTACACTCGCGTGTTGATGCCCGCGATTACTCGCCATCTCAGATGGTGGATTAGGGGGTTCCATATAGACGACAAGGGGTTGAGTAACTCGACTGTGAACAAAAAAAGCACAAAAAACATGCCACCTGCCCTAGATAGAACCCCATTTCGATCCCAGTTTGTACGTGCCCAATCAACTCTATCTCCAAAACTACGCCCTCATATGCACGGCTGATTCATGGCGATTATCATGCTTTTTCGTCCTGCAATCTCATTTTTCACTGGAAGTCGGTCATTAGGGGCGGAGTCTGGAGGCGGAGTCACTGGAAAAAAGGAGGAGCCACTGAACCTATATTCTACCGCAACCTATATTGCGCTACAGCGCCCCCCCATAGAATTTTTTGCCGCGAAACCGGTACAAGGTTGTTCGTCGCGGACCACTCTAACCTCCTGACGCCATATTTTCAACTTCGATACCTGATCGCGGACCGTGCCTTTAAAACCGGTAAAAGCTCCCAAAATGTCTCCAACGTTCCTTTCTTCTTCCATATCAGTTCGGGTAGCATGGCCTAACGTAGCTTGTTCCTCACGGGACGCAACCGCCCCCGTTCCCCCTCGACGGGTCAAATAAAACACCTCTCTTGGTCAAGAAACCAAGATTTTCATAACATTCTGAAGCAAATGAGACTTTTCTTGAAGTACTCTTTTTGAACCTAACTATGCTTTTTGCAGGCAATCACCGTCGCTCCACCGATGGAACAGAGTTGCGAGCGGAACTGCCATACTGTATGTGTGAGCGCCTGCACGGCAAAAGCGGCGCTGCCGTCTGTTTGCGACCAAACGTGCAGCAATGCGTGCCGATTCGGCTGTCAGGACTCTACCCCTGGGACGGCAGTGGCAGCCGCTGAACCCATCCGAATCATCATCGACGTTACCGATAGTTTCTACGCGGACAACTGTGATCAGAAATGTGGCCAGACCTGCCATTCACAGTGTATTTCGCAGGGTAACACCGCTACGGGCTGTGCGTCGTCTTGTGGACAGCAATGTGCCTCGTCGTGCGCAGCCCGCCCTGCTCAGGTAGATCAACTTGCACCAGCACCAAACCCTTGTGTTCAGCGTTGTAACACTGACTGCCAGCGTGATTGTGGCATCAACCAACCGCTTTGCTCCACCACTTGTGATATCGCTTGTCGTCTGCGCTGTTTAGAGGACGTGTCTTCATCGAATGAACTCATTCAGAACTCGAACGTGATCTCAGAACCGCTTCAATGTA